AGAAAGGTCTTCCATCTGCTGGATCACTCCCCATATAGCTATAATTGCCAGGATGGGCCACACTGAAGCCAGGAATCAGGAGTCCCATCCCACATGCCTGGTGGGAACTCAAGCCCTTGAGCCATCATGTGCTGCTTTCCAGGCACATCAGCCAGGAACTGAATGGGAAACAGAGGAGCCTGGACTTGAATTGGATGTGGGTGTCTCAGGCAGCAGCTTAACCTACTGTGTCACACCACCAGCTCCCCCTTTTTACTCTTGGGTCTACTTTGTCTGAATTAACACAGCTATTCCTGCTTTCTTTTAATTATTTTTTCAAAGTATATAATTTAACATCTCTTTATTGTCAATTTACCTGTATCATTATAGTAGAAGTGAATTTCTTTAGACAGCATAAGTGGCTCATGCTTTTTGAAAATTAATCTATGTGGTATGGTAGATAATGCTGCCACCTGTGATGAGGTTTATGTCTTGCTTCTTCCACTTCCAATCCAGTCCCTGCTGCTAGTGACCTGGGAAGAGCAGTGGAAGACAGCTTAAGTGTTTGGGTCTCTGACCCTCACTTGGAAGACCTGGATGAAGTTCCTGGCTCTAGCCTGGGGTGGTCAACCAGCAGATGGAATTTCTCTCTCCCTGCCTTCCTCTCTCTATATAATTCTGACTTTCAAATATAAAAATAAATAAATCTTTAAAGTTAACCTATGCTATCAATTTTCAGTTTTTAAAAAGCCAGTTGCACTTAATGTAATCATGTGTTAGTGATTATTTTTTATTTTTATTTTGCTTTTTTTTAAAAGATTTATTTGTTTTTATTTAAAAAGCATATTTATACAGAGAAGAAGAGACACAGAGAGAGTGATCTCCCATCAGCTCCTATTTCACTTCCCAGATGACCATAATGGCTGGATCCCAGAGCCAGGAGCTTCTTTTGGGTCTCCCATATGGGTGCAGGGTCCCAAGGCCACAAGCAGGGGGCTGGATGGGAAGTGGAGCTGCCGGGATTAGAATCGGTGACCACATGGATCCTATTGTGTTCAAGGCGAGGACTTTAACCATTATGCTATCGTGCCAGGCCCATAATTTCTTTAATTTGTTAATTTTTTAATTCATCTTTTATTTTCCTTTTTCTGTCTATATGAATTTTGTAGAATTCCATTTGATTTATCTATGTCACTTTTGAGTTTATCTCTTTATGTAGATTTTTTAACTTTTCTCTAATTTATCAAAATTACTGAAGTCACAGTTTATCAGTTTGTGGGATGTCCAAAATCTTATTTCCCTTTATGCCTTTTACCCTTACACATTTACAATAGAATTGCCTCAATATTTTCTCTCTCTATATTAAGAACTACATCAGACATTGTTATAATATTAACCATAATTTTAAAAACTTGAAAGGAGGAGGAAAGCTTATTGTACTTATTTGTGTTTTGTTCTTTCCATTTCCATTCCTTCTTCAAATTTCTAAGATTCTATTTACAAATATTGGGTCTATATTTAGATAATTTTGTTTGGCCTAGGGACTAGCAACAGTGAGAAGCCTGACGAGTCAAGGGGAGCCAGCAAAGCTTTGGCTAAGGAGAGACCAGATGCTGGCAGGACAGTCATGTCCCAGGTAGGGAAGCAGTGGGGAGCAAACACCATGGCCTGGCTCCTCCAGCCTTGTAACTTCCTGCTGGTGCCTCCCACCGACAGTCCTGCTACACGCCAGTTGGAGTGTCTGACACATGATATAATCCTTAGCCCAGCCTCCGGGCCAGCAACGACTATAATAATCTCATCAGGCATGTTAAGGATAGACATCATATTCTGTGGGGAATCCAGCACAGGCTGAATCCCATGCCGATAGAAGAACAGAGTTAGAAATAACTGTGTTAACATTGATGAAGACCAAGTCAGTCTTAAAAATAATCATAAAGATAAATAAAGGCAATAAAGGCTGCTTTATTTCTGGATTTTCCATCTTTAAGTGTAAACATGTATTTAAATATGAATCATTCTCACTTTTTGTTAGAAGAGGGTGGCAGCAGCCTTCTAATCTTAGAGTGTATCGCCTGCTGCTGGGGTACATGATGGGGGACATTTTCTCCCCTTGCATTTCCTTCCTCTTCTACTCCTACAAATCACAAATACTTCGGTTGCATGAAGCATCTTTTACTAGAATCTTCAGACTTGAGGAAGGTTCACATGTCACAATAAATGTAAAACACAAGAACTGAAATGGCACAGATTTTTTGGTTGCAATTACTTCAGGTTTTTCACCACTTTTTCCAGCCGTTGCATCCTCTGAGCAGCATGCTCATGGATACCTGCATCATTGAGACCCTATCCTCCTCATCTTGAAAACATTTCATGCATTAGCACAAGAGATCATCATGATCTTCTGACCCTAGGCTGCCCTGGACAGTGCAGAAGGGAAACAGGACAGCACAGAGAGCTCTAGAAGGCTAGGTCATCTGCATGCAGCTGGCGGAAGTCCAAACTAGAGTCCTATTGGACGAGGTTTGAGCCAATCAAAGAAGGGTCCTAAGCTGACACTTTGTTGCTAGCAGAAGAGTCTAAGTCAAGAGGACCTTCTGACTGGGAAGTCCCCAGGTCTGATGTAGGCTTCCCTTCACAGCTCAAGAACAGAACTGAGGAAACTTCCTGCCTTAGGACTGGAGGAAGAGAGAAGGGGCAGGGGGAGGGGAGGCCTCTGTTTACTCCGAACACTCTGCAGTTCTGCAATGGGAGCTGAGGACACTGAGGGCCCCTTCACTCTTTCTCTCTGACCATTCTCCCTTGCCCAGGTCTGAGTTTGAAGTCCCTTCTTCATGCTCTCACTGCACCAGTGGAGACTCATGTTGGGGTGGCCCTGTCATAGAACAGCGCTCCTGGAGGAAGCCCAGTGACAGTTTTGCTAGTCTGAGGTGGGGTAGAACTATGCAACTAATGTAGAGTATTGGAATAATTTAATTCATGTGCCACTAATGAAAACTTATTGTTGCCTCTTCTCTATTTCTTTCACTGGACAAAGTACTTATCCCTGCTTTTAGACCGTTTTATATATTAAAAAATGAATTTGAATTGCGTGAATGAGAAAGGGACTGAGAAAGGAGGGAGAAGATATTTATTGCATATTATTTGGGGTTATTATTACTGTTTAGCAGGCATTTAAAAAAAGATTTATTTTATGTTTATTGCAAAGTCAGATATAAAGAGAGGAGGAGAGACAGGAAGATCTTCTATCTGCTGATTCACTCCCCAAGTGAGCACAGTAGCCAGTGCTGCGCTGATCTGAAGCCAGGAGCCAGGAGCTTCTTCCAGGTCTCCCACATGGGTGCAGAGTCCCAAGGCTTTGGGTTGTCCTTGACTGCTTTCCCAGGCCACAAGCAGGGAGCTGGATGGGAAGTGGAGCTGCCGGGATTAGAACCAGCGCCCATACAGGATCCTGGGTGCGTTCAAGCCTAGGACTTTAGCCACCAGGCCACGCCGCTGGGCCCAACATTGTGTTATTTGTTTTATATTTGCTTAGTATTGCCTTTTAGATAGGCACCAGAGAAACATTAGAAATACTACACATGGATGCTTCTGCCTTCTGGATCTCATCTGCCTTTCTGACACTGGTTGGAAAGGTTTCATGGTTCACGATGGATTTAAACACATAAGGAGCTTATAAGAGAAAAATAAATTAACCTTTTATATACTTTCACTCACAGAGAAAAAATGTTACAGAATCTTGCATAATGAAGTATCCCTGCCAATAGAAATGGCTGTTTTTTTGTTTCACACATTGACCCAATATTTACAGCCATTATACATGACAGTAGAGAAATATTTAATTAATGTTAAACAATTCACATTATTCTCATGTTTGCATAGAAAACGATACAAATAAAATGCATGGATAATGGTCTAGGTTTTATAAAAAGAAACCTAGGGCAAAAAGAAATTCAATCTTCATTGACTCAAGAAGCACATTAGTGGTAGAACTGCAGTTTAAAACCATCTCCCTCTAAGAACTCTGCTCTTCCCAGCACAACTCAATGGTTCTCAATATCTAAGATGATAAATGCTTCTATGGCAACAGCTCTTTGTTTCAAAATTTTATTTATTTAAGGTGGGCTAGAGAGTGGGAAAATAAGAGGGAGAAGGAGAGAGACAAAGAGGAGCCCACTTATTGGTTCACCTCCAAATGCCCTCCTGGCCTGGTTAGCCTGAAGCTGGGGAGCTAGCAACCCAAGCCAGATATCCCACAATGAGTGGTAGGAGTCAGCCACTTGAGTCATTGCCACGTCTCCCAGGGTCTGCATCAGCAGGAAGCTGGAGGAAAATAAGCCGATGTGCTCCAATATGGGACACAGATGTCCTAACCTATAGCTTAACTTCTAGGCCAACGACTCACCCGAGAGTCAGACAAGTATCATAAACATGTCCACTCCTAGGGGCTGGCATTGCAGCATAATGAATTACCACCTGCATCACCAGCATCCCAGATGGGCGTAGATTTGAGTCCTGGTTGTTCCTTTTCCAATCCAGCTCCCTGCTAATGTGCCTGAGAATGCAGCAGGAGATGTCCCAGTTTTGCTTCGATCTCTACACCCACACGGAAGATCTGGATGAAGCTCCTGGCTTTGGTCTGGCCCAGCCTCAGCTCTTGTGGCCATTTGGGGAGTGAGCCAGTGGATGGAACATCTCTCTCTCTCTTTTTAACTTTGCCTTAAAAATAAATATTTTTTTTTTTAAAAAAAGAGTTGTCTACTCTTGAATTCTTTTGGCTTCTGGGTCTTTAACCAGGAAGGCATCCGGTCTTCAGAGGTGGACAGACATCTATAATTTGCCCTAGATGGGTATTGGAGGTTCATTCAGTACAATTTGGTGAAGACAGTGCCAGGCATTGGATTGAGAACCTTCAGAAAAAATGTCTGCCTGGAGACAGATGATGTCCTGTAGCTCCAGTGCTGATTGGTTCCACCCCTAGGGGTTCTCCAATCCCAACATGCTTGGATGCTTTCTTAGGTTTTTATCCCCCAAGGTGGGCACGTCGGATCTATTAGGTGCAAGTTTTCTACAAACATTACTTTCTTCTGTTCTCAAGTATGACTTGGCGGATGGCTCTGCAGCTTCGGAGTGGCCTCCAGGGAGCAGCTGTGATGGTGATCCTGATGGTGCTGGGTGCCCCAGTGGCTGAGGGCCGTGACTCTCCACGTAAGTGCAGGGTAGCTGCTTCTGGAAACCCACTATGGGGAGAAGGCTTGCCTTGGGCTGGTGTGTGGGGAAGGGTGGTCTCCATGAGCTTAGCACGTCCTCCTCATTGTAAGAACATAGCCTGGGGAGTGTTACAATGACAAGGAGAAGACATCTGTCTGTGACAGGATAAAGTGCCCAGTGGGTCAGGAAACTCAGACTTATCCTCCAAGGTCCCTCCTAAGTTTATCTTTCCTAAGCAGCAGTCCTTTAGTTTGAGGCTGTGGGTCTGGAAAGTGTAGGGCGGCAGCAGTCTCTGTGGTTTTGAGGACCAGCAGCCTACACTCCTGACCCTGAGGGAAGGATTCAAGAAAACACACTCTTGGTACACGATTGAAGCCAAGTGCTAACCAACTGCTGAATCTCACCCTCGGGGTTCACTGACTTGTGGGCAAATGGCAACTTGAGTGGGATTCAGAGTCATGAGTTGACGGTGGGCTGAACTGAGGACAAGAGAATAGGTGAAAAACAGGAACATTATGGAGCAAGCCTACTAAGAAAACACTCATTTCAGACACAAGATGAGTATTTAATATAAATGTTCAATCTTTCGGTGTGCCTAGTTGTAGGTATTATGAGACCTTATTTTTACACAATTAAACAGACAGCCACTTTCCTATAAGAACTCTGCTCTTCCCACCACAACTTAAGGCTCGCTGGCATCTAAGATAACATTAGCAGACACCGCTGTGACAACCATGCAGCTACTGTTGGATGGCCTGCCCATGCCGGTCACTGGGGCAGTGTAACTAGATCTGTTTAAGGTCAGGGCTTATGCTGGTCTCCTGATAAGACTTTCTAACGTCACAGGAGCGAGGGAGCCTCACTCTCCAGTTAGGGTGGCAGTATCTCAACCACCTCCACCACAGAGAGCAAACCTGGATATGGTGAGAAGGGCACTAGCCCAGAGGCAGGGCGATACACGTGTCCGGACGGGCTGAAGGGCTATCGAACCTGAGACCTTTTTCGTCATTCCTAGTAGCTCCTGGGCCTCTGTGGATTCTTGAACCCAGGGCTCCCGAGAGTTAGGAAAAGTGAGCTCCATCCCTCCCAGTGCCAACTGCAGGTGCGATCCACTGCTCTGGGTGTGGGGCGGGTCCCGGGAGCCCTCGGAGGAGCGGCTGGGCAGGGCCCGGGAGGAGCCGACTGGGGCACCCGGGTTCCAGAGGCTTGGGGCTGGCTGGGAACCCGAGGGGATGCGCCCCAGCAGGGACCGGGAGGAGCCGACCCGGGTGCCCGGGTTCTTGAGGCCTGAGGCTGGCTGGGAGCCGGAGGGGCTGTGGCCCAGCAGGGCCCGGGAGGAGCCGACCCGGGTACCCGGTTCGGGAGGCGCTGTGCTGGCTCCGGGCTGCTCTGACCTCAGTGTCCGCCCGGCACAGCGGCCGCGGGGTGGGGGAGGAGCTGCGAGCCGGCCGGGGACTGACTGCGCCCTTGATTCCCCGCAGAGGATTTCGTGCTCCAGTTTAAGGGCTTGTGCTACTTCACCAACGGGACGCAGCGGGTGCGGGGTGTGGCCAGATACATCTACAACCGGCAGGAGTACGTGCGCTTCGACAGCGACGTGGGCGAGTTCCTGGCGGTGATCGAGCAGGGCCGGCCGGACGCCGAGTACTATAACAGCCAGCCGGACATCCTGGAGCAGTATCGGGCCGCGGTGGACACGGTCTGCAGACACAACTACCAGGGTGAACTCGTTACCACCCTGCAGCGGCGAGGTGAGCGCCTGCCCCTCCGCCGAGTCTCTGCTCGTGTGTGTGTGTGTGTGTGTGTGTGTGTGTGACCGGCCTTGTGTGTGTGTGTGTGTGTGTGAGAGAGAGAGAGACCGGCGTGTGTGTGTGTATGTGTGTGTGTGACCGGCCTCGTGAGTGTGTGTGTGTGTGTGTGTGTGTGTCTGTGGCCGGCCTTGCGTGTGTGAGAGACCGGCGTGTGTGTGAGAGAGAGAGAGACCGGCGTGTGTGTGTGTGTGTGACCGGCCTCGTGTGTGTGTGTGTGGCCGGCCTTGTGTGTGTGTGTGTGACCGGCCTTGTGTGTGTGTGTGTGAGAGACCGGCCTTGTGTGTGTGTATGTGTGTGTGTGTGGCCGGTCTCGTGTGTGTGTGTGTGTGTGTGTGTGTGTGTGTGTGTGTGTGTGACCGGCCTCGCCGATCCTAGTCCCAGCTGTGCGGAGAGGACCAGCCGGGACCTAGGAGAGCCCGAACCCCAGCAGCCCCGGGCTGTTCCCTGTGGAGGCGGGTTCAGCTGCCCGATGTACCCCTACTCTTTGTCCTCTGTTCATTTCCCAGTTCCACACATTCCCGTTTCTTACCTTACACGTGCTTGCCGCCCCCTTGCTTATCTGTGCCCTCTGCCGGGAGGGTGGGCATCCACCGCGGTCCTGGTAACCACCTCACCGGGGCCTAGGACCCACCTGCTGAGCTGAGGCCGCTGAGACGCCCAACAGGCTCCACACAATGGACCTAGGGCTGATTTACAACCACATGCCCCGGACCTTGAACATATTGTAGACAAGACAGTAAGGTTGTGGCATTATATTTTGAAGTTTCGCTTTCAATCCAGTCTCAATTTCTCCTTCCGCCTTCTGTCTTTCTGCCCTTTCTTCCTTCCTTTTTCCTGCCCTTCCAGCTTCCGCACTTCGGGTTTCTGCCCTGCTATCCACTGGTTCAGTGTTCAAATTTTTGCAATAACAGAGGCAAGGCAGAAGCCAGGAACCAGAACTACGTTGGGTCTCCCATGTGAGTGGCAGGGAAACTTGTACTTGAGCGATCATCTGCTGCCTCCCAGCATGGACATCCGCAGGAAGCTGGCATAGGGAGTGGAACTGGCTTTGAAATCTAGACACCCCCGTACGGGATGTGAGCATCTCAAGCCGCGACTTTACGTTTGCCCCACACCCCCATCCGAATTCAGTTTAAGTGGCAGTTATGAGTCTTAGAGCTGTCAAAGGAGAGGGCCGTCACACGATGGCAGGTAGTATGAACTCAATAAATCATAGCTGATAAATATATATTCGTAGCTGACCATCTATTAGGCTCAAGAGACACAGAATAGCAAATAGGTTTAAAATGGACTTAATCAATCACTTTTACTCTTTTACCTAGTGCTTTAAGTAAATGCCTGTTGATTTAGACCTTAATACTTAAGAATTTATGAATGCAAAGTCCTAGGTAAAAGTGTTTGCTAAAAATGGAAATAGCAATAATGTTGAGTTTTAATTTTTTACGAGTTTGGAAAACTCAGTAAATTGCCAAATTCAAATAGCAGGATTTCAGTAGATAGATTTAAAATGCTAAAATATTGAATGAAAATTGTCCCAGGCTTCGTTTGGTTTAGATTTGGATTCTCTTGCCCTGGCTTTTTGTCTTTCTGCCCTTAGTATCACCACATTAGGGCAGATGCACAGAAAAATAATTATGCTTAGTTATTTATTTTTAAAGTCTAATTTATTTCTGTTTGAAATCCAGATTTACAGAGAGGCCTTCAATTCGCTGGCTGATTCCCCAAATGGCTGCAGTGACTGGGGTTGAGCCAATCTGAAGCCGGGAGTCAGGACCTTCTTTCAGTCTCCCTTATGGGTGCAGGGGCCCAAGGACTTGAACCATCCTCCATTGCTTCCTAGGTCATAAGCAGGGAGTAGGATGGAACAGCTGGGTCGTGAGCTGGATCCTAAATGGGATGCCAGAGTCAGAGGTGGAGGATTAGCATGCTGTGCCATGCTCAACCCCCTCAATTATATTTATTTAATTAACACCTCCTGACAATTCCTTACCAAATTTCATTTAGAGTATGTTATCTGTTCTCCTCTTCTTGCAGTTTGGGATTAGAATCATCATTTTACGTGTGTTCATGTTGATATATACTGAACACTCTACTAATTAGCTTACAGTCACTTACCAAGTCCAGAAGCCTCCCCAGAACACCCAACAGTACTGATGTGTAGAACTGAATGGAAGCAAAGCCTCCTGGAAGCTGGCGAGGGTCAGAAGCAGCAATTTGTTTTGCTGCCTATTTATTTTAATTTTTAAATTTTTTCTTTATTTTTGACAATCTTTACATAGTTAATTAGGGCACAAAGTTCAAGGGCTGCAGGAAAGTGGTAAGACTATTATTTCCACATTGTTTTTTTTTGTGTATCTGGGGTAAGGGGGGAGATAAAGGGAGAAGCCCCACCCAGTCTCCCACCCTGCTGCCTATTTCAATGTTAGTGGGATCAAATGTGTTTTCAAAGTTTGAACATTCATGATTTTGGAGAGGTGCTGTACCTTTAATGGTAAAGCTACTGCCTGTGATACTGGCATCCCATAAGGGCACCACTTTGAGTCCTGACTTCTTCTTCTTCTTTAAAGATTTATTTATTGTTATTACAAAGTCAGATATACAGAGAGAAGGAGAGACAGAGAGGAAAATCTTCCGTCCGATGATTCACTCCCCAAGTGAGTGCAATGGCCGGTGCTGCGCCAATCTGAAACCAGGAGCCAGGAACCTCCTCCAGGTTTCCTACACAGGTGCAGGATCCCAAGCCATTGGACCGTCTTGACTGCCTTCCCAGGCCACAAGCATGGAGCTGGATGGGAAGTGGGGCTGCTGGGATTAGAACCGGAGTCCATGTGGATCCCGGCGCGTTCAGAGTGAGGACTTTAGCCATTAGGCTATCGTGCCGGGCCCGAGTCCTGACTTCTAAACTTCTGATTTCGCTTCCTGTTATTGTGCTGGGAAAGTAGCAGAGGATAGCCCAAGTCCTTGGATCCCTGCACCCAAGTGGGAGATCAGAAGCTCTTGACTCCTGGCTTTGGCCTGGCCCAGCCCTGGCCATTTATGGCCATCTGGGAAGTGAACCAGGGGATGGAAGACCTTTCTCTCTCCCTGTCTGTAATTCTGCCATTCAAATAAATAAATGAATCTTAAATAAAGGAAAATTCATGTTTAATCCAAGCTTGGCTCCAATTTTATCTGCCTTTTAACTATTTTTTTTTGTGAAAAACTTAGTTCTTCTATATTTAATTCTAATCAAAGTAAAATAGATACATTTTATGAGTCCATCTAGCTGACTGATTTCAGTGAAGCTCCAAGAAGGAGAACTTGAGCTTGAGTTACAAGTCAGAACTGAAAACACGATCATTTCCAGATGCTGCTCATGATTGCTGTTTATTCAGGTGCGGGGGCCACCCGCTGATCTCAGTCGATCCCAGTTATACTGACATGCTCACGTCATGCTCTCGTTAATTCAGATCTACTTCTATAATAATCTTCAGCATTTTCTATAGAGAACATATGTAATAACATCTGATTTCAGAAGAAAAAAAGTCATTCTGATTAACAAGAGAATGGAGTAATGTAGACAGCTAGGAATTGAACTCACTTGAATGTTAAAAGAACAGGGGAAAAAAGAAACCAACTATGTAAAATACTCGTTAATATCTAATAATTAGTAACAGCAATGAATAACAATTGGTATTTGCTAGCCTAAGCAGACCATAATTTCATAGATTTTATATATATTTCACATAATTATATTGCAGATTAAAGAAATGCAATAAAAAAGCTTGAGAGTAATAAGTAAAATAGGTTGGGAAAAATGTGCTATATTTGACAATGAGTGGCAATCCAAGGAAAAAAAAAGGAACAGAGGTATGGGCAAAGATGGCATTTTGTTGATCTTTCCCTAAAAGGACTGCTTATTTTTTTTTTTTCGAAGCACGTAAACTTCTAAAATAACATACTCATTAGTTTGGATCTGTTTATAGATTGCAATTCTGTGAAGAAAAGGCCATAGTCTGTGATTTATCTTTGGATTTTCAGTGCTTGTCAATTACATAATTGTTGAATGAATGAATCAATGAGTGAATAAAATATAACAGCATATATGATATAGAGATTAACATTTATGTACTTAATAAAATACATTTGTATGTATATTTTAAGAAACTCATCATAGAATACATTGGAGCCAAGGGTAGGATAAAAGCTGAGAGGGATCAATGCTGTGTTGATTAAAATATGTAGGACGTGCTCTTGCTCCCTAATATTGTGAATATTGCAGGTTGAAAATTATGGGATACAGCCTGGCAGAAGAGCCCTGCTTGTAGAAATGACGTGTTGGTTACTGTTGTCTTATTTTGCTGTGCAGACATTTCTCTTCCCCTGTTACTGTTCATTGAATCATGACTTGTGCTAATGGTCTCCCACCAGCAGGCAAGAGTCCTGGTTATTGCATCTTCTCTACTGTGATGAGCACTGGCACTAACAGAAAACAGTGTCACTCTCTAGAGAGATGACCTTTAATTTCAATAGGAGTTAAAGAAAAAAGGGCTTTTTATTGCTGTTATTTTGAATTTTATAGTGGCTTTTTTCTTTTATAAGGCTTCAGTATTTTCAACATAGTAACCCTAACAGGATGTTTCATTGTCCCTTATTACTCTGATAACTAATACATGCCATTAAACTAATAAAAGGCAATGCTCAGAATCTAATCCAAGAACTGGAATCCAGGGATCTTTCCACTTTCATATCAACAAATAACTCTTCTCCATGAGACTTCCCATGTGCACTCACATCTCACTCAGTCTTTTCCTGTCTGTTGCTCTCCTCAGAGGTGCCTACAGTGACCGTCTTCCCATCTGAGACAGAGGTTCTGGATCACCACAACATGCTGGTCTGCTCGGTGACAGATTTCTATCCAAGCAAGGTCAAAGTCCGGTGGTTTCGGAATGGCCAGGAGGATACAGCTGGTGTGGTGTCCACTCCCCTTATTAGGAATGGGGACTGGACCTTCCAGATCCAGGTGATGCTGGAGATGACTCCGCAGCGAGGAGATGTCTACACCTGCCACGTGGAGCACTCCAGCCTGGACAGTCCCATCATGGTGGAGTGGAGTAAGGAAAAGATTGTTTTCTTTCACTGTTAGTCTCACAAGACAGAGGGCAGAGCTCCCTTTGGCCCATCCTGTCTATTATCCATGGGGTCACTGCTGAGCTGGGAATCATGAGACTGGTGCATCAGTACAGAGACTTTGAAAGATTCCTGATGTCATTATCTTCCCAGATGGAGGGAGGTCACTCTGCATACCACGGCCCTAAAAGCCAGTCCTTATGGATTCCATGCACTGTTTGAGGTTATGGATGTGTCCCTGGGATGAGGAGTGGGAATCTGTTCCCTTTCCCCCTCACTTACAGTTATGTCCTAAGATATATTTTCTGATCCTTTCCTGCCCTAGAGTTGGTCATAATAAAGCGACTAGACTACCCTGGGATCACTACCTCCTGTACTTCAGATTGGACTTGAGTCCTCAGTCAGGGACATTGTAATGTGGGGACAAGCACTGATACTCAGGTTCTGCTCCCCAGGGGCACAGTCTGAATCTGCGCAGAGCAAGATGCTAAGTGGTGTCGGGGGATTTGTGTTGGGTCTGATCTTCCTTGGGCTTGGCCTTATCATCCGTCACAGGAGTCATAAAGGTGAGGAGCTCTGGAGGAAGGCGGGGAAGATGGGCTGTGTTCAAGACCCTTTGTTAGAGGCTCTTCCTCTAGAGGCTGCTTCATTTCCCTTAACCCTGAAAGGAAGGAAGCTGGGCTGCAGTAGATGAGGCAACCCACGATGAGGCAACCCACAGAGAGACTTCAGAATCTGATTTTCTGTTGAGAGGCAGCCCTGCCAGAGAGCTGGTAAAGTTCATCCTGAGACTTCCTTACAGTCGTGCTCGTCTCACTGGATCTTTCCAAAAAGCTCTCTTCATTAACAGGGACAACATCTTTTCTTTCTTGTATTTGCAGTTTCATTTATCATGGAAGATTTTAGCTTAGGGTAGTTTAGATCTTACAGAACGTGAATGGGGAGAGAATATAACTGATGAAGCTGCAGGATTCATATTTCTTTGGGCTGGGTAATTGAATGGTTGTTTGTATAATCACACTTCTTTATTCATAAATTTCTTTTGTAGGATCCCATGGACCTCCACCTGCAGGTAATATTTCATCCCTTGTCTAGTGGGTATAAAGGAGACAGGTATAAGAGGAAAGGGGCTGAGGTGAGTGTACCAAGGCGCAATGGTCTTCATTGTTCTCTGCTGGGGGATCTAGAGTTAGGAGGAAAATATTCCAAAAGCTACAGAAGTTGTTTACAAGAATCAAATCATAACTTTCTGTCATCTTTTTTGTGAGAGTCAGAGTCACATCCTAGATGTCAGACACACTTTGTGTCATATATTCATTACTGCTGCCTGTAGACATTAATCAGCGACTCAATGAGTGGTGTTGAGTTAGAAGGTGAATTATCATTAGAAGTTAAGTAATTCTGTCAAAAGATTGAACCCTTCGTTTTCATGGAAATGTAACAAACATTCTTCAGTGTATCTGCATCAAGCTGAAGTTCCGTGTCCTCTTCAGCTGATTTCAACTTCATATAAAGGCTGTGGGAGGTGATGATGATATACACTGGGTTTAGCTTTCCCTGAGGGAGGACCTGTGGGGAAGAGGGTGTGTCCCTAGAACTGTGTGCTGATCACATCCTCATCTTTTCTGCAGGACTCTTGCACTGACTCCTAAGGACATGCTGAGTGAGATTGGTTACTGCTTCTGTAATGCCTAACTTCTTGTCCTACCTTGGAACTCCCACCTGCCTGGGTCAGCCTGCCCCCCTGTAAGATCAGAGTCCTATAATGAACCTGTTACAGCTGCCAGCTCACTTCCAGCCCAAGGATCGGACTGTGTCTCAGCTTCCTGCACTGACCTCAGAGCCTCTGCCAGTGTGCTGCCAGCTGCATCTACCCAACGACATGATATTACTGTTTCTGCCCTGTCCCACAGATTGCTTAAGAAAAGTACATTTACCTGAACTTAGAGTTTTCTTTTCTTTTTTTTTTTTTTTACAATTAAACATGATTATAAGTTATTTGTACCCTAAGTCTCCTTAATTTGGTAGAAACAGGAAACTGCTCTAAAATTAAGGAACAAATTCTAAAGTGACCAAGTCAACCTGTGGCCAGGAGGGATTTTTCTTGAAGGGAAACTAGAATCATCATGGATTACCACATAAAGGTCTGATGACTTGTGTATGTAAGCATATGCGGGGTCTCCCCCACGGATTCCTCTAGTTCCCCGTTGCCAGAGGGGGTGAGCGTGTTGCCCACCACCCAGCCTCCCAGCACACAAGAGACAAACAGACGGGCAGGGGTTCTGTCCAGCAGTTCTGACTTATTGGGCGAAATTCAGATTCTTATATATGGTAAGTGATAGCCTCAGGCCAGGAATTTCAGGAATTCCAGGAGGGGAGAAACTAGGAGCCAATTACTAGGAGCATGACTGCAGAAGCCACCTCCCATAGGCCAGGGTAGGTGAGTGAAATGGCCCTGGTCAATCGGTATTTCTTTGAAACAATGTGAACCCTGCCCTGGTTCACGCCCAGGACTCTGTCCTTGGTTGCCATCTTGCCTGCCACAGGTAACCCAGTGACTGTTACTTGCCATCTTATTGACTTAGTGACCTCTTTGCTCCTGAGCCCCACAAACATAGGGGAGTTATTGGGGACATACATAGTATCATAGATAAATGAACTGTATCAGATATATCCTGATAAGTTACATTGATTAAAACCAATTTTTGGTTTTGAGGAAGGAGAATGACCAGTAAAAAGTACTGTATTATTACTGCCAATTGAGAAACTCAGCTAAACGTTGCTGTTATTCATGCAATAGGGATCAAGCTGGTTTCAGAAGTGAGTAGATTCAACCAGCTCTTCATCTCTGCTTTCTTTTGGTGGCTCTCTATGTATCTTTTTCTCTTCTTCAGTGCCTTTTTTTGTTCCTCTGTATTTCTTTCAGTGTCTAATTTTGCATATTCTATGTCTTCTCTTCACCTCTCTGTTTTTCTTGTGTTCTTTGCTTTGTTTTTGCCCCTATGTCTATATCTACCTGAACTATTTATTTGTAGCTCTGTATGTTTCATTTTGCAAGACTAACTTTGGCATTTCTTATTACCTCGCATTTTGTCTTTGTTTCTGTAATCTGTGTTTCATCTCTACTGTTTGAGGAAATTACATTGGGAAAGATTTTCATTGGCTAAGACTGGGTCACATGAATAGTTCTTAAAAACACTGTTCTATACATAGATGGCAGACATCAACCTCATTATTAGAAGTAGAGACTGGACTTTGCGGACCCAGATAATTGTGGAAATATGCTTCTAGCATGAAGATGCCTACATCTTCCACATGGAGCACCTTAGCCTCCTGGTGCTTACCACTGTGGAGTAGTGGAAGGGAAATTGGCTTCATTGCATCCTGGACCCAACAGGACAACTAAGAGAATTCCCTCTGGTGATGGAGTCCTTCAATGAGGCATCTGTTTACAGTCATCCTGCCCCTTGACTCTTGCACAATCACCTGACTTTACTGTTGATCTAGAATAGGAGATTTATGTCTATGAACATATTGTCTTGCTGATTCCTGGAAAGACTCTCTTTCCAGGGGTTAGAGAAGTCATGACATCTATGGCTCCAGCACTGAAAGCTGATCCTGTTACTATTCCTGTTTCATCACTGAGATTTCAACATTGATACAGTGGTTAGGAGGTTAATCTGAGGTCGTGGAAGACCATAACCAAGAAGAGCAGAAATCACATCCTCCTTCTCTCTTGCATATTCATTGGAGCTGAGGAGACTCAGAGTCCTTCTTGCTCTTGGACAAGGTTGGAGTGCAGAATTAGACTCCCTTGGAATCTCCACTTCCTGCAGTCTAGGCTGTGTGGCTGGTCATCAGATGGGGTGGTTGTGGGACAGATACTGGCACTTGAACGCCAGCTCCCTGTGTTACCCAGAGCAAGATGTTAACTGGAGTCAGGGGTTTTATCCTGGTTTCGTCTTTCTCCTTTCTTCCTTCCTTCCTTCCTTCCTTCCTTCCTTCCTTCCTTCCTTCCTTCCTTCCTTCCTTCCTTCCTTCCTTCCTTCCTCCCTCCCTCCCTCCCTCCCTTCCTCCCTTCGTTTCTTTCTTTCTTTCTTTCTTTCTTTCTTTCTTTCTTTCTTTCTTTCTTTCTTTCTTTCTTTCTTTCTTTCTTTCCTTCTTTCTTTCTTTTATATATTTTTATTTTGAATTTTTGAATTATGTGGTGCAATTTCATAGAGATTGGAATTTCCCCTCAAACCCCCACCCCTGACAGATTTTCCCCATTTTACTACAATGGTATAGTCCTTCATAAGGAATCATAATTCTGTCAGTCTTTTGTTTAACTGTGTCCTGACATTGCTGGAACAGACAATGTCAGACAGTCCAGCATCCTATTGTCTATATATGTCCAACAATTTCATTGGGAATCCATCTTTCGTCTGGAAGCAGGTATGCATGTTGCCTTATACCCCCACATCTGGATATGGTAGACCCCAGTACTCCATCACTATACATTTCCATAATTGAGAAGCCATGAAACAAGGTCAACAACTGGTGTGAGAATATGTTAGAATTACAGCATCAAGAACAACAACGACAACAACAAAAAATTACAGCACCATGAAAAAACACGCCACTGAGTAACAAACACATGGGTGACAAAAGGGAAATATAAAAGTCTCTTGGGAAAAATGATGCTAATGTGTAATACACGAGGCATCAATGAATTTGACAAGAGAAAAGAAAGTATTTGGAATAAACAAAACTGAAATAAAAAACATCAAAACACATGGGATGCAGCCAAAACAAAACAAAACAAAATAAAACAAAAACAAAACCAGTATGGATTAGATTATTGAAGTTACAATTTCCATGCTGGTTTTCTTATATAAGAGAGAATATATGGTATTTATTCTTTTGTGATTGATTCATTTTCACTGAGCATAATGGTCTCTAGTTGGGACAACCTAGTGTTTTTTTTTAAAGTAAAGATTTATTTTATTTTTATTACAAAGCCGGATATACAGAGAGGAGGAGAGAGGAAGTGGAGCTTCCGGGATTAAATGGTGACCATATAGGATCCCGGCGCATTCAAGGCGAGGACCTTAGCCACTAGGCTACGCCGCTGGGCCCGGGACCACCTAGTTGTAAATAGTATAATTTCATTCTTCTTAATAGTTGAATAATATTCCATGGAGTAGATGCACCACAGCTTCTTTAACTACTCTTCTTTGGACGCACATCTGGATTGTTTCCATGTCTTTGCTATTGTGGATTGTGCTGCTGCAAATATAGGATTACAGATCCCTTTCTCATATGCAGATTTCATTTCTATTGGGTATATTCCTAGGAGTGAGATAGCTGGGTCATATGGCAGATTTATTTGCAGTTCTCCAAGCACTCTCCATACTGATTTCCACAGTGGTTGTATTAGGCTACACTCCCACCAGCAGTGAAGGAGGGTGCCTCTCTTCCCATATCCATGCCAGCAGGTGTTGTTTGTTGAGTTCTGAATGTAGGCTAGTCTCACTGGAGTAAGGTGGTGTCTCAACGTGGTTTTCATTTGTACCCTGATGGCTAGAGAGCCTGAGCATCTTTTCACATGTCTGTTAACCATTTGAACCTGTTCTTTTGAAAAATGTCTGTTCATTTTCTTTGACCATTTTGTTACAGGGTTATATTTTAGCTGTCCCTGGGTTTCTGAAGTTCTTTGCAAATCCTGGATATTAGTCTCCTGTCACTTGTGTATTGTGCAAAAATTTTCTCCCATTCTGTTGGTTGCTTCTTCGTTTTGTTAATTGTTTCCTTTGCTGTACAGAAGCTTTTTAGTTTGATGTAGTCCCATTTGTTCATTTTGGATTTTTTTTTTTAAAGATTTATTTTTATTATTTTTTCATTGGAAAGGCGGATATACAGAGAGGAGAGACAGAGAGGAAGATCTTCCGTCCGATGACTCACTCCCCAAGTGAGCGCAACGGGCCGATACTATGCCGATCCGAAGCCAGGAGCCTCTTCCGGGTCTCCCACGCGGGTGCAGGTTCCCAAAGCTTTGGGCTGTCCTCGACTGCTTTCCCAGGCCACAGGCAGGGAGCTGGAAGGGAAGTGGGGCTGCCGGGATTAGAACCGGCGCCCATATGGGATCCCGGGCGTGCAAGGCGAGGACCTTTAACCACTTGCGCCACCGTGCCGGGCCCTCATTTTGGATTTTATTGCTTTTGCTTTTGGAGTCTTTTCTAAGAAGTTTTTCCCTGTTCCTATATCTTGAGTGTGTTTCCTCTGTTTTCCTTTAATAGTTTGATGGTTTCTGGGTGTAGATTTAAGTCCTTGATCCATTTAGAGCTAATTTTTGTGTAATGTGACAGGTATGGGTTTTGCTTCTTTTTATGCATGCTGCTATCCAGTTGTCCCAACAGCATTTGTTGAAGAGACCAAGCTTTTGCCTGGATTATTTTTAGTTTTTTTTTTTGTCAAAGATTAGTTGTCTATACATGTGTGGGCTCCCTTTTGGTGTTTCTATTCTTTTCCATTTTTCTTCTCTGTTTCTGTACCAGTACCAGACTGTTTTGATAACCACTGCTCTGTAATATGTCTTGAGGTCTGAAATTGTGATTCCTCCAGCTTGATTTCTATTTTTCAGGATAGCTTTGGCTATTTGTAGTCTTTTGTGATTCCAGATGAACTTTTGTATCATCTTTTCTATTTCTGAAAAGAATGTTGTTGGGATTTTGATTGGGATTGTGTTGAATCTGTACCTTACTTTTGGTAACATAGTCATCTTGATAATGTTGATCCTGCCAATCTAGGAACATGGTAAGTTTCTCCATTTTTCAAGGTCTTCTTCTATTTTCTTTTTTAATGCTTTGTGATTTTTGTCATAGAGGTCTTCCACATATTTAGTTAGCTTAATTTAGGTATTTAAGATTCCTCTCCTCTATTTTAAAGGGGACTGTACTTACAATTTCTTTCTCATCCATGGAATTATTTGTGTGTCATCTGCTTGTGTTCATTACTTT